TATTTAGATCTTAAAATTTTGGATATTAATTACGAGTAAAGATTTTTGTATTATCCTTAAAAGAGCCTAACGTAATCCAGGCTAAAATAAAAAAACACGACATGCAATAAAGAGATCTAGAAAAAGCAGGTAATTTCTACTACGCAACCAGAAGCACATCAATATTAAATCCAAATAAATCAACTAAATGGCCATAGGCAAATTACCCTTATTACACCCTAGATATGCAGAAAATAAAGTGGTCGTGCACCACTGCCAATAACCCGGATCTAAGCCTATGACAGACGCAAAATGACTTTGAGTGGGATATTGGTCTTCAGTCTTCTGGGTGTCTTCTTCTCCTTGGACTCCTTGGATTTCTCCTCCTTGGACTCCTTGGATCTCTCCTCCTTGGACTCCTTGGAAATCTCCTCCTTGGACTCCTTGTATCCGTCGTGGCTTGAATATCCAAATACGAAGAAGACAATTCCCCCTAGCATAGGGGGTATTGCCTTTTCTCTTTGGATATCTAAAGCCATCCAACTCGATCTTCCAAATGAGAAGAAGACTCTCCCCTTTAGGGATGCCTTCTTCTTCTAAATTCGAGTTGGTAAGAATATCCCACTCATAGTGCGATTTTCACAAAACTCTTAACGAATTATATAAATATTACATCCATTGAAAAAGAAATTCTAAAACTCCCTACATGGTTATCCTAATAAAAATCACAAGCAGTTTATATTAAAAAAAATAAATAGCTAACATCATTGACCCTGTGTCAAGCCATGCTGTTGAGGGCTAATGGTTCCACCTGTTGCAAGTTATAATTATTAATTTAGTCCTCATTTATTTAGGGGGCTGAAGCAAGCACCTGCATAAGACATATTAGAAATTCCATTGAACAGTGCTCCTTTTTAATCATGCCGAATTCGAAGGTCTCTTATATAGAGCACCCTGCCCTCCACAACGATCCATTTATTGTTGTAAAAGTTGCTACTAAGAGATTTCATAATTATACAATTAATTAACTATTATTAAATTTTTAATTAATAGTTACTTAATATTAAACATCTATTTATTTAAGAGTTATACATATATAAGTAGATTAATATTTCTATATACTTTTATTTATTAAAATGATCGAAATTAAAAGTAGAATTTAATGAAATAAAATAATGTTTAGAAGAAGTTTATGCTTATATTTGTTTTGAACATTTTGGGTATTATATTTGCAGTAAGAGAAGTTGATTTAATAAGTTTAAATCTTATAATTTACCTAATTTCCCTCACTATCAAGCATGCACTACACCTGTCAAATTAAAGGCCTTTGCTATACTACAAAAAAATTATGGAGGAATAGGAAAAATAATTAAAATTTTAGGAAAATAATTTCAATCAAATCTAATACAATAACTTTCACACATTTATAAATTAGCATATGCTTCTATATACTAATTCTCTCTAATTGGTGAGTAGAATGCATGGAATTTTTTTTTTGTGATTTTGTAAAAGATGATATTTTGGGGTATAATTTAATTAAGAAAATTATATTTTTACTTAAATATTTTTAAAAATAATTTGCTTTATTTAAAAATAAAATAAAAGAAAAATTAAAAAATACAAAGCAAACATATTTTTAAAAATAAATACAACAAATGATCTCAAACAACTACTTTATTTTTGTTTTTTTGAAAGAAATGCATCAATGCATTAGAACATGAAAAAAAGAAGTTATTACAGCTTAATCAAATCTAACGAATAAAATTCGTCCTTCAAAATTTGAAAGAATGAAGGAGGAATTTCAATGTTAGTTAGATCATGCCAAATGAAACTTTTGCTTAAAGCTAAATTAGCACAACTTTCTGCTAATTTATTACAATTTATAGTAGTAAAGCTAAAAGATACTTTATTAAAATCTTTAATGAAGGATAACTTATCTTCAATTATTCCTTTCTTCTTTAAGTTCCTCAAAGCTTGTTGAAGAGTCTTGATGATGTTGATGTTATCTCTTTCAATAATAACTCCTTGTGCTTCCAACATCCAATCTTGTATGACATGTTTTATCATGTATACCGCTTGTAGTTCCATTTGACCGATGTCCCAATGCACATATTGAGTTCTAAATGCAATTAACATCCTTCCTTTGTCATCTCTACAAACTCCAGTAGCTCCGGCTGAGTGATTGCTGCTTAATGATGCATCCACATTGATTTTTATCCATCCGGGTGGAGGAGGACGCCAAGAAGAAAACAGGTTACGCTGATTGACATCCCAGTTGTCCGTTTGGATATTGATTGTCGGTGTTACAACAACCATTGATATAGAGCTGACTGCAATATATAAGTCTGATTCTTCCCTACCTTCATGAATCAGCAGATTTCTGCTTTTCCATACAAGAAAAACTGCAGTGCAATAGATGTTTACAACCAATGGATTCATACTTGACATCCTCTCCAATTCTTTTAAACAATCATTAAAGCATCAAAATTGGGGTACTTGAATCCCCCATTTGTTGAGCCAAACAATCTTCTTCTTTAATTTGTCACAATCTCCAGCAATATAATTATTGTTTTCTTCTTTATCACATCCTCTCGGACAACTGTTAAAAGAAATCAATTTTTTTGTGAAATAAGAAAGAGTAGCTTGGGATAGCTTCCTTGTGCATTCTCCACCAAAACAGCTCTACCCTTGGCCTGAGCTTGATTTTCTTCAACTATTTCCATAATTCACAATTTGCATCTTCTTTATAAATTGAATCCTGTGAGATTGCTTCCATAGAGCAACCAGTTGATTTCCATTTTAATTAAATTTGATCCAATCCTTGATCTCTATATATAGGAGTTAGTAATATGAGATCAATTAGTTGCCTTCCAAAGAACATTTGAAGTTGCTCAATGTTTCATTTGCCATCTAGCAAAAAGAAGTTCAAGTTGTAATTGCTAATTTCCATGTTGCTTATAAATGTAGGCCATTTGGATATATTTCTATCCAATATCCAAGCATCATTCATCCAGTTAATAGAATCCCCATTGAAGATTCTCCATCTCACAATATTTGTAAGATATTTAGCTCCATTACACAATATTTTCCAAGTAGAAGAGCTCCCTTTCATTCCCTGCTTCTTCCATAAATCATCTTCATATTTATCTTTTAGGATGCAATTGAGTAAGGTTTCCGGCTTCATATAGAATTCCCATGCAAACTTGGCCCTTAGATGTCCCACTTTGGCAACCGCTGAAAAAAGACCTCTCCCTCCTTTTTGTTTTAGTTTACATAGCTCCTTCCAAGAGACAAAATGCATTCCCAAATTCCCATTCTTCTTATTCCACAAGAAAGCTCTACACATTTTATCAAACTACTTTAAGATTTTCAAAGGCACCAAGGAAAGAGTTGATAGAAAAATTGGAAGAAATAAGAAAGCTGATTTTAACAAGACCATTTTACCTTCCACTGAGATAAAATGCTTTCCCAAAATATTCAGCTTATTTAAAGCAATTTCCATGAGTTTATTGAAGTCCGACCTTCCCATCCTCCTTAATGTAAGCTTTATACCCAGATAGTTCATTTCTTTAACTGATTTGAACCTCAATACATTTTCAATTTATTTCTTCCTCCTTTTGTTCACTGCTTTACCAAACACCATCATAGATTTTTTGAAATTAATCATTTGACCGATCCATTTGCAATAGTTGTTCAAACTCTTTTTAATTTTTTTGATCTTCTTCAAGTTGGCTTCAAAAAATACTAGAGTATCATCCGCATAAAGAAAATGAGATACCCTAGGTGCATTAGAAACAATTTGAATACCCATCTTCCTTCCACTTTGATAAAGAGCATCCGATAAGATTTGGGAACACAATATAAAAAGAAATGGGGATAGAGGACATCCTTGTCTAAACCCACTTCTAGCTTCTATCAAATTTGATTTTTTCCCATTGATCAATAAGCAAAATTTTGGATCTAAAATGCAATTCATGATTAAATCCGAAAATTTGCTAGGAAATTTAAAGTGAAAAAGAACTTGCCTCAAAGCTTGCCACCCCATGCTATCATATGCCTATTCCATATCAACTTTGATGGCCAAAAATCCTTTCTTAGCTTTAGAGTGTCGGATTTTGTTGAAAACCTCTTCAGCCAAGAGAACATAATATGTCAATGATCTACCTTTTAGGAAAGCCACTTGGTCATTCGAAATAACCTTGTGAAAAACCATCTCCAATCTATTCATCAACATTTTAGCTAATAATTTATAAGTAGTCATGCATAGTCTAATTGGACGGAGGTTTGCTGGATAACTTGGATTTTGCACTTTAGAAATTAGCACTATCAACGTCTCCTTCCAATTGTGATGCATAATTCCTGTTTTGAAAAACATATCAATAACATTCCAAACATCATATTGAGTTACCTTCCAGAAGCATTTTATAAAAGAGAATGTAATTCCATCAATGCCCGGTGAGATGTTCTTCCCCAAGTTGTCCACTACTACTTGAAGCTCCTCCTTAGAAAATTCTGCATCTAGTTTGAGTTGATCTTCTCTATCCAAAACAGCAAAAGGTTTCGACCATCCTTCCACCATACAGTTTCTGAGTCTCCATTTAGCTTTGAAAAAATTTGAGAAAATACATTCAATTTCATTGAGCTGATCCATGAATACACCATCTTCGTTTTTGACATATTTGATCTAGTTTGAGCTTCTTCTAGCATTTGCAAAGGAATGAAAAAAAACTGAATTTGAGTCGCCTTCCTCCAACCACCTAGCCTTGGCTCTTTGTCTCCACCATATATTCAGTCTTGCCAAAGTGCAATTTAACTCATTTACCTTTGTCCGGAGCAACAACAGCTTTTCCTCATTGTGCATCCCATCAGCCTCTTCAAGTTGTAAATCATAGATTTCTTTCTTCAATGAATCTCTTAACACATTTAAATTCTTAAATTTTGGCTTGCTCCAATAGAATAAGGCCTTAAGAGTTCTTTTAAACTTCAAGTTCAGTGAATTGGCTGGATCACTCCCTCCACCCTTATTCCATGTACTTTCTACAATAAGCAAAAGCCCCATGATAGATTGCCCACACATCTTCAAACCGTATACCTTTGTAGTGAGACTCCACCGGTTTGAACACCTCCAGAACAATTGGACAGTGGTCCGAAGCTATACAGGGCAAATGCTTCACCATGGCTAGATGAATATAATTCATTGCAAAAGAGTTAATAAGATATCTATCCAATCTTTCTAAGATATGTCCTCTTATTTTTTTATTACACCAAGTGAATTTGGGTCCAACAAACCCAACTTCATGGAAGTCGTTGTTGCTCATAAACATCTTCATATCTTTTGCTCCTTGAGAGAATACAAATTTTTTTCCTCCTCTCTTCTCCTCCTGTGATAAGATACAATTAAAGTCTGCCCCAATAATTGTTGGATTATTATGAGCATGCACTTTTTCCAAAATCTCCCATAGATATTTTCTATCCATCATACTTCTACTTCCATATACTGTGGAAACTAGCCAACATGCTCTATTTACAACTTCAAGATTCCCAATGATGACATGAGAAGAAACTTCCAATACTGAAAAAGATGCAAAGTCCTTCCTCCAAAGTACCAAAATTCCACCCGAAGGCCCTCAGAAGGAACCATAAACGATTCCCATTTGTCTCTCAAAAAACTCAAAATCTGAAGATTCTCCAATGAACTAACTTTGGTTTCAACAAGCCCCCACAACTAAAACATCATTATCTCTTACAAACTCTTTGAGATAAAGAGCGGCCTCTCACTTTTTGGTCCCTTTACAATTCCAAAAAGCTAAGATGTCATTGTTTAAAATGAGGGGAAGGCCCCACCTCCCTTTTTGCTTCTAACAATCTCTAACTTCATGTTATGATTAACAATATTACCTGACCCCAGAGACTTCAATTCTTTGAGCAGCTTTACTTTCTTTCCTGAAGAAGATTTCTCCACAGTTTTAGTATCCAGGTAAGCATCCTTACTAAGGCCTTTAGCTCCCATCTTCAGCTCTTGATTGCTTGTTTCAGCTATTTCTGAAACAGCTGTATCTAGATCAACATTATTTCTCCTTCTTCAATTTCTTGATTAGACTTTTCCTCGCCATACTCATTCATAATACTGTCTTCCATTTCAGATAGAATACCAAATTTATTCATAATAGGGACAATCATTTTTGAACTAAATACCTGAGCCTTTTCACTTTCAATTTCAGCAATTTTTGTTATATCCAATGCTTCTTCCTGTTGTACCCGATCAACACTTGATTTGGTAAAGCTTGAACTTCTTCCAATACTATAGAGTTCTGTTTTTTTGGAATAAAAACTTTTTTTGAAAAAAGTCTTTGCATAATAGTTACTCCAACTGGCCTTCCATTATTTCCAGAAAACTTCTTACCATAATTTACTTGAATCCACGGACCATAGCTATTTTCATCAATTTTCTGACTTGAGCTTCCATCTTCTCTTGAGTTTAATTGATCTTGAACATTCCTGACCAAATCAGGATCAACACTGGAAGTTACCTTCTTTTCTTTAAAGATCATACATTCTGCTATGGTGTGACCAATGAAGTCACATTCATAACATAACTTTGAAATGCCTTCATATATGATTTTCTGAAAAAATTTACCAGATAATCCTTCCACCCATACCCCCAGGGGTAATTTCTCATTCAGGGGAACACGAACACAAACTCTAGCGTATTCTCTTCTACCACATTGAAACATGTTCCCATCAAGCAAGTATGGCTTTCCCACCTTCGATGCAGTCCTGCAAATGTTGATATCATCCCAACATTGCAAAGGTATGTTTGGTAGTCTAATCCATAAGGGAGCTGAAATCCCCTTCAATGAAGTTGGAGAAAACATAGGAGACCATTTGTCCAAACCCACCACATGTCCTTTAACATACCAAGGACCTCCTGTAAAAATTTCTTCCATAGTTGAAGGATTTTCAAACGAGCAAAGCACCCATCCTGTGCCTAAACCCGTTATGTGAAACTTTCAAAATCTGCTCCATTGCTTCATAAGTTCAATACATACTGAAGAAAACAATGTATTATCACCAAAAACTTTCACCACAAGAGCACAGTCCATTTTTTTGCATTGATGCTTTCATTTTCTAACTGATGCTGGACAGTCTTTCCATCATCAGATAAAAATGATCCCAGATCTAATTTATCCACCCTTATGTTTTGTTTCTTCTTCCAATCAGAATTTATTTCCCTTATGTTATTATCTTCTTTCGAAATACTGTTACCATCATCAAATTTTCCCTGTATGTCAACCAACAGAGGAAATTCTTCATTCACCTTGTTCTCATTTGCTTTAATGTTTTCTGTCGGGGCTGAATCAACAATTTTACAGGAAATAGGTGAGGTTGGGAGAGATGTCGATTTAAAACCTCTATTAGAAAAGCTATTCTTTAGACGACGTGGAAGCTTCCACATTTATATTCTCCATCATTTCCTTGAATCCAGTTGCCGTTTTAAACTTCTTCAAGTTGAGAAGTTCTTCTTCCTTGATTATCTCCTTGCCTTTTCGAAACACCAATGGGACCTTTGTTTTTCAACAGTCCTTTTTTGATCAGCAATGGCTTCTCCTTGAATTGATTATTGTGTATCAAAGCCGTCCTCTATCCTCCATTAAAACCCTCTGAAGAAGCTCGCACCGGAGCGTTGAGACTTCTTCAGATATTCGCCCAGTCTTCAGACTACGCCAGGTGCTTCCCCTCCATTGCCGTCAGCTAATTCTGTCGGCGAGGCAATAGAGAACGAATAGCCAAAAGAGTCGCGAAATCCATGGGAGAAGGAAAATTTTGAAAAACAACTGATTTTTTTCAAATTCACAGAGTTTCTCTCACTAGACCGATTATGGATATTGGATGGTTTTTTATTTTTGTTGGCTAATTTGATGGTTGCACTATATTAATGTGTATTCGGTGATATTTCAAAATAGTGCTTTCCATTTTATTTACTACGGTAGCTATTTGTTGTGGTGTCTTTTAGTTTGATTTTATTGTTTTGTAACATTATTTTAAACATATAACAGAAACTAGGCCTAATTGGCTATTGACATGATCTTTTATGGTATTTCTAGGAACAAAGGAACCTTCTTATTTTTGTTTTGAAATTTCAATCGACTCTCTTGATAAAATGGTTGATTTAGCATCTTAATATACTACAAATTTGTGATTAAACATCAACTATTCATTTCTACAGGTTTTCCTGGATTCATCTGGATAATCTGGTGAACCTTATCTATAAAGCTTTGAGGAATCCTTCTTTTAAAGGTAGCATGCTAAAATGATATCAATTAAAATTAAGGTCATTTTATCAATCCTTAGAGCACATTTTTATTTTATAAAGAGGTGGTACACGAGGAAAACTACCATCACTAAGCTGGGTTTTGTGTGCATTTCTTGAAATATTTTTTTCTTTGGTTGTTATATTAGAAGTTGCATCTAATGGTTGCTCTCGTCATGCTACATGCATGAGCAAATTCTCTCTATTCGCTATCCTTCGCCCTTTCATATGACTTGTGTCATGCAGCCTCATGGTAAGTCATACTCCGTTTAATATATGCTAATAATATTATCAATTTCTATTGTTAACAGCTTTAAATGCTACCTCGCAAACTCATTCAAAAGAAATAATTTCTTACTGTCGTTAGTGTATATACATTTTAACTGTTTTATGTGTTTTGATTTATGCGACTCATAATTTGCATCATTTACCCTTTCTATTTCGCATTGTTCAAATTCTACAGTATGGTTGGTTATATTTTCTTCTAATGAGTTTCTGTTTGAGTTCTATTGTATTTGGGATGGCTTAATTGGGCTTCTACTTGATGTTGTCCGAATGTTTGTGATGAGGACATCAACAAGAAATTTTGGTGTGTCTATCACATGAGGAGTCGTAGATCGACGGCTATGATTAGGAGCCTTTATTTATGATTTATTTCATGTATTTCATTTTCTTATTTCATGTTATGTTGAGAGTCTTTCCCATTTTATCCTTATATTGGGTTATTTGTGTTGTAGCCCAATGTACGTTCTAGTCTTTTGAGTCTTCATGTTTTGAGGCCTATATATTGAGGCCCTAGGCTATGGAGATGATGATTATTATAAATGAAACTTCAATTTTTCTTAGTTATGTGTGTGCTTGAGTCTTCTTGAGAGAAGAATGAAATCCCTAGGAGTAGGTCAAAGCAACATCCAACAATCGTCGTCGTGGCAAGGTTCTTGACTTTATTCTATCTCCTCTCTCACCCCCATCCTCCTTCCAAACAGCCCACCAAGCACTCCAACCCTTACAAACAGCCAACCAAATATTTCAACCCTTCACAAGCAACCACCAAGTGTTCCCACCCTTTAAACAGCCGGCCGACTACTTTCCTTCCCCACCACACAACCAACTGAGCATCCCTCCCTATTCCAACTCCTTGCTGCTTTCCCTTAGCTGGCTACCCTTCCCCCTTGCCTCTTGGTATTACCTCCACATTTTCCCCTCCCCAATCCTCATTAACTCTACTTAATTAAAGCTTTTTGCATTCCCATAGGTGCGTCCTTTTTCCCTTTCTAACCCTCATTAACTCCATTTAATTAAAGCATTTCCTATTTACTAGTTTCCACCTTTTCCCCTTCCCAATTCTCATTAACTCCACTTAATTAAAGTCTTTCTCATTCCTATTGTTATTGCATTTTCCCCTTCCCAACCCACATTAATCTCCCCAATTGTTGTCCACTCTCCTCTCCATTAACTCCTAAAGCCATTGCCCACTACCACACACTTATTTACCTCCAAGTAGTTGCCCCTTTTTCTCTTCCTCCATGGTTGGCTGACCCCAATATGGATTATGGCTCGTCTTTATTGATCAAGGCCTACTGGATGTGCTTCATTATCCTTTCTTCGACATCGAATTTAGGAATAACCATACTGTTGAGGAATACATGGATTGGATTCTCTTCTTCCTTGCAACCGCCATTGACCAGCTTCGACCTCACGTTTAGTGGCAACTTTCCCACCGTCCACCTCTCACCTCTTTTTCGGGTAACTCTTCCTTGAAAAAAACCTTAAGTGCTTGCTTCTCCTTAGTGGCATCATTAACATTATGTCAAGTTTTCTCCCGCTGAAATTTTCAAAGAGTGTGAGTAAGAAAATTTCATTGTGATTGTTCTAGTTGTTAATTGTGGGAATTTTGATAGTTACAAATAGGAATTTAGCGTCTTTGTTATTATTTTATTATTCTCCCACTCTATTTGTAACTGCATACTTTTGCTTGATTACCAACTAAGAAAATCCTAAAATCAGCTTTTGTGAAACATTAATTTTATAATTGATAAGCTTGTCAATCACTTATTAATCCCAAGCAATTCCTGGATCTAATATATATTTCACATTGGTTTGAGCTAGCTTGTAATTTTATGAGTTGTCGTAGACATATGAGAATCGAGAACATGTATTTTTATGAATGAATTTTTCTTGTAAGAGACTTTGAAGGCCTAATATGAACGTATAAAACTCAAATACTTTGATTGATTTAACGAGCGAAGATCTCGAGAGTTTATATGTTTGTAGTGAACATTTCTTGTAATACACCTTGAAAGTCTAACACTACAGGAAAACATTTCCTGCTGGTTTCTAATGAATACATTCCGGCGGCCACAGCCGCCGGTATAAGCCTTATTTTGCCTAACCCATTCTTTCTTCCTCATTTTCACAGGTCTCCATTCTAAAGAAAGACGAGACTCCCTCTCATCACCTCCTGCCGACTTTCTGCCCTACCCTATGCTGGCCTTGAGCCTCCTCTCCCCAGTCGCAGGTGATCTCCTCTCCTTCCTTGCTCTTCTTCCTTTCGACTTTTGTTTGAAATTTATGCTTTTTGGTTTTACGCATTTGTTTGAAACTTATATATTTTAGATTGAATTGGGCTATAGTTTTATTTGATTGATATGTTATCTTTGTTCTTATGAATGTCTTGCACCTCAATGATGATTTTGCAGATAATAATGAGTTTATCATGCATGTGTTTTTGTAGGTTACTTGAGCTGCTAAGATTATTTGATAATAGGTAGGTCCTTTTTCTTCCAGATGTCCTGAAGGTGGAGGAGATCTATCATAGATGAGGGCCTGAGGTCTATAGCAAGATTTAGGATATAATACATAATATGCATAATCGAAAAGAAAAATCTTTTAGAAGTTATTATTTCAATTGTGTAGTGTAGCTATATTGTAAATATTATTATGTTTTAATTCATATCTATTTAGATATGCCATATCATAGCTATCCTTATTATTCTTTGAAGTGATAGTGTTGTTTGATTATTAACTATTATGGTATAATTATTGTATGAACTCTATTGTGTTATACCTATTGGTTTACACCATGTCTGAAGTATGATTGAATCATGCTCAAATCATATTCGAATAGGGTTCTAACCTTTGTTCAACCATGTTCAAACTTTATTAAACATGATTAAGAGCATTATTTGAATATGGTTCAAATATTACTCAAATATTATTTCATTCTTGTTCGAATAAAAGAGTCTTGTGTAGTTGAATAGTTTTATTATTAAAGTTTATTGTTGATAATGCATCAACACAAATCATAAAAACTAAGAGGACTTTGATCAGTTGAATTATTTTCACTTAGACAGTCTGCCAACCCATCAATTGACTCAAAATGATGAGTTTCAATCAATTGTCTCTCTTGATAAGATTTGCTTTTCTTCTAAAATAGGTATCACCTATGCAATTTTAAGGGCCTTTGTCTTCATTATAATTTTTATGCATGTAGGTGAAATCTTGGAATCTTTCCACATGTAGGCCAAATAATGAAATAAATTAAAAATAATAACTTGTAAATGAGTTATCAAAGAAAATTAACTGGTTTTATTTATAGCTAAAGCCAAAGCTCTATGAATTAGTCAGAGAAAATTAATTTTTTTTATAATATTGAATTTTTAGATATATTTTTTTATTTTAGGATTATTAATTCAACATCCACATGATTATCTAAGAAGCGAGATTTTAGATGTATAACAGATTGTTAGTGGGATGAAAAAGATTGACAGATAAATTTATTGAGGGAGCTGAGATTTTCATTCAAGTCGCATGTCAACTACTTTCATTTAAGTATGATGGAATATTTAGATGTCCATGCTCGAAGCACAAAAATCAAACTTTTCCTAAGCCTGATGATGTTATATCGTAGGGGATTTGTTCCAAGTATTGGTTATGGACCTCACTTGGTGAGTTTGAGCCACATAGAGATACTCATACTGGTACATTCACTACTTCTAGAACAATATATGAAGATCAAATGAATAGACCTTATGAAAATTTTATTTTTGATGCAACAGGTCTAAATTTAAGAGAGAACGTAGAAGATCCACCAAACCCAGAAACAAAATATTTTTGAATTAATAATGCTACTTAAAAAGCAATTTTAGATGGTTGCACAGCTCATTCAGAATTATCAGTTGTTATTAAGATACTCAGTATCAAAATTGAATATAATATTCCTCAAGAGTGCTTTAATAATTGAGATACATGCAGAGCTGCGATCATATCGAGCTGAAAATTAGAAGAAAAAGAATCAAGAGCCTATGCATGAATCATAGGGCAATGAACTTTACATTTTATTATGTTTCAAAGTGTTTATTTTGAATTTTATGTTTTCAACTCTTTTAATATCTGTTGATTGTGAATATTATGTTAGTGCGTTTTGTTTTGTGTGGCTTTTTGGCGAAAGAGAAAGGTGGATATTTTCCTCTAGGAGGGGAGATATGGGGGAATGGTCTTGAAGATGTTTGGGATGGAGAGAGAAGTATTTGTGAAGGAATTTCTCTCTTTCTAGAGAGAAAATTTTTACTCTCTAGGCTAGAGAGAGAGAGTAAAGGGTGATGAGGACATTTTGTTGGGGATGTGTAGGAAGTGTAGGAGAGTGTTTTTTTGTGAAGGGAGGTTGGTGGTTTGATGGGTGAATGTGGAGAAATCTGAAAACAAGGGTTTAGGATTAAGGTATGTTTGGAGAAAAATGGTAGAGGAAGAAGAAGATGAAGGACAAGGAGAAGAAGAGAGATGGAAGAAAATGGACGGAAATGGAGGGAGAAAGAAGAAGAAAGAAAATGGAGGAAGAAAAAGAAAGAATGAAGGAGGAGGGGGAGATGGAGAAGTCATCTTGAGGATCTTGGAGAGGGAGGATATTAGATTTATTGGTTTAGGCGCATATAATTGAGTGCAGCTAGCGGTTATACCAAGATTATTGTGATCAAATTGGGATCATATCAAGATTATCAGCTTTCAAGATTATTGTGATCAAATGAAAGCATCTAAAAAGAATATCAGCTTTCACAGGGATTGTGATCAAATTGGCAATTAGAAATGCCTAGATTGAATTGGGATCATATCAAGATTATCACGAGTCTAATATGGCTCAGATCAGTATTAGGTCTGGTCAGTGTTGATCTATACTTGATCCGAGATTGGAGCAAGCTCAAGTTTGGATCTTTAACAGTCATAGATATTCCTGGGTCTAAGAACCTTGTTAAAAGGTTTACCATGAGAGAGTTGCAATCTACTTCATACAACCAAATTCAGTTGTCCCTGAAAAGAAAAATTATTATAAACTCTCAGGTATTGTCAATGGAACTGCACCACATCCAGTTTGGTTATCGGAGATGTGTGATCAACTGGGGCAAGTTATGGGCCGTTCATCGTGGCTTCCATTTCCTGACTTTGTGCTCAGAGCAGTATTTTGTAAGGGTGCCACAATAGTATGTAATATGCATAATCCATTTTTAAGTGTTATATCTACGTGAATCTGAACTTGCCTCTGTTGCAGGTTTTGGAAGGTCAGAAGTTGCTACCAGTTAAAGCAAAAGAGCATGGTTTCCATTTTAAGTACCCATTTGTCAAAGATGCTTTCAGGGATATCATTTCATCTGGAAGCACTTAGGCTATTGCAGTGACTACTGTCTGTATCATCATGATCCAGTGAATTTTCTATCATGGTGGCCGATGCATGATTTTCTTCAAACTCGGATACTGGGAGATTTTCCATCTTAGTTATTTACTCATTTTAGGCCTTCTGGTTGCAAAATATGTTCTAGATTATTCATTTAATGAAATTGACTGGTGATTGGTTCTTGTGATCTTGTTATATAATGGTGATGCTGCTTTCGTTGAATGTTTTTTACTATTTTTTGGGAAATGATGAGCAATTCATGAAGCAGCTGTAGAGTTCAAACGTTGGAGACGGCAAACCTTAGGCAATATTTTTTTGGAGCCGCTTTGTCTTTCGACAATTTATTTTTCTTAAGAATTAATGCAATAAATAAATAGATTTTATCTCAAAATAAAATATTTAACCCTAAAATAAGTTACCAAATTGTTTAAAAAACATATTTCAAGGAAAAGAAGTTTGGTTTTCCCATTGAAGTGTATATTTTTTTGTGTAATATCTTATTTATAGGGGATCATAGTGTTAAGAGAACAGTTTTCTTTTTGTTAATCATGCATCATCTTTTTTTAGTTATTAAGCAGTAGAGTTGGATAAAGTGACGTAGTGGCTGTTTTATTGATGATTTTTTTAAATATTTATAATAAAGTTAAAAATGTAGAATAAGTATGATTGTACGCAGAATAATAAATATAAAATTGGTATATATGAATATTATTAGAAGTGGTTCGCCAAGTAATTTTCCCATTACCACCCTGCGAGTGGTTTAAAAACTGCTACAGAATTATTGTAATATCTACGACATGCTTCTGCAGATTAGTTGGGAGTTAGAATTTGAGGGAATATATTTATTTATTTATTTAATCTTTTTTCTGAAGGCAAGAGAAAATTGAATATAGAAATCCACTTATATAACCTTTGAATAATACCAATAATATCGTTTGTTAATAAGAGCTATAGCATAAGATTCCATCTGTACTGGCTTATATAATCTCAAGTTAATTATAATACTTATATATATTTTTTTCTAAGTTTTAACTCTTAAATAATAATTATCTTTTTAATCTCTCAATATAAAATATATATGAAGATTTGACTATATATATACCTTATAATAAATATGACAAGAGAAATATGCTTTATTTTTTTTTTTTTTGGGAAAATATATTAAAAAGTTCATTTTAGTTTAAAATATTTCACTTTTTATGGTATCTCATTATATGGGGAGAAAAATAAGTTCATTCTACATTTTGCCATTTTGACCTTGCTTATTGTTATTATCATACTTCCATTTGAAATTTTTTCCGCTCACGAGAGATGATACTAGTGATATTTTTTCATTAATCGATGACTTTAATATACATTAGTGCTATTTGTTTTAAAATGCTATATTATGTAATATAAATTTGATCATTTTGATGGAGCTTGAATGCAAAGCGATAGAATATTAAAGAGTTTTTTTTTTAACATCTTGTTAGAACACAAGTAAATTATATTTGAATCAAGATAAAGCATTGAATATGTTCAACCACAAGTTTGAATTTTATTCAAATTATGGTGTTATGTCATTGTTTGAATAAAGTTCAAATCAATTATAAACATGAATAGAACATAATTTGAACATGGATCTAACCATGTTCCAATATTGTTCAAACCCTATTCGATCACATGTTTTGACAATGAATATCATCATGAAGTTCAAAACTAATAGTTATTATGAGAAATACTACTTGATTTCAAAGGAATATAGAAGAATTGAGATTTTTGGATATTAAGACATTATATTTCACTAACCATCCATAACTTTTTTTTTTCTTTTTTTTTTTTTTGAGAAAGCAAAGCAATTGCATTAACTAAAAAAAGAGAAATTATTACAACCTACTAACCCTCATATCTAGATTCCTCCTATAACAAACTAACAAACGAAGGAGAAATCTTATTAGAAGAAATATTATCCTCCATAACTGCTTATCTAAAGAATGAACAAAGGGAATAAGATTTCGTCTTTGAAAATTGATACAACTTGATGGTAATTAGTATTTAGAGAGCTTCAACAATATTACCTAGAGTATATGCTCATATTTAGTGAGTATATTATTTAGATTTTTTTAGACAATGCATATATAATTTTTCAAAAGACACAATTTTAGTAAACATAAAAATATTTTTTTATGAAGGAAATTAAAGAAGCACTGGAAAAGCACCTGAATAAGCTCGAAAGTATGATTGCGCACTAATAAGAGAAAGTTATACATTTCAAATTGCATCTATTATGGTTATTATTTCTCTTAATTCTTATCTTTTAATGCATGAAATTAAGTTAAAATTATCAAAATTAAACTATCGCCACAACGGTTAAGTTTTGAATGAGTGTTGGAGCTTAGCTCGAGGCTCTACGTAGGGAGCGTTGTAGTGCCAAATCGCTTGAGCACCTTGGCGAATAATAGTTAGAGATAGTTGAATTAATGAATCGGTGCGATGAGTGGTGACTGACACGATGGTTAAGAAGCATTGCAGCGCCACCAAGCCAACATTGTGGCGTTAGCTCATTTATTTTAGATTTATAAAAATAGGAAGCCTATTATTCATATGATAGGTTTGGAAACTTGGAGATACATGAGGGATTGTGTGAGTGAGTGTGTGAGGCTTCATTTGGTGTAGGTTAACCCTTTTGTATATGTTGTGAGACTTGTACTAGTGTGGAGAGAGGAAGGGAGTACAAAGGAATTTGTACTAATTAACAAAGGATTTACATGTCAATTCTATCCTTATCTTATGTCTTGTACTTTTATTTTGTTCAATGAAATAAAAATGTTTATTGTGTTTTCTTTTATCTTCATATGATAGTTTAAAAACCATGTATTGCATAGAGTAGAATAATAAATTTATAAATCACTTAACCTTGTTTTTAAATCCTCCATGCCTCAGTTAGTTTGTGTATAAGCCATACATAAACTTAAAATCTAGTGTGATCTATAGCCTCAACAGAAGAATAGAAGAACAAATAGAGGAATTAAAATGTAATCCTCCAATGCATAGATATATGGTGGTTAGGGTTATGGTATCTTAAGGAGATAATAAAATTATAGTTGCGAGGAATCCTAGCTAATACTCCAATGAGCTTGACGGAGATAAGAAGTACTTATACTTTGATTCACAGTAACATTATACGACATCATATGTATACTTGCGTAGAATAGGAATTACACCTTAGCATAAAAAATCATAGCTAAAATACCAAGCAAGTAGTGTGTAAAAGTAGGGTCCTATCAAGTTTTTGACGTCAATCCTAGATAATTAAAGTTAATTATCCTTTCTTTCAGTGCCTTATATTATTGAATGAACAAATAATTTAATCTTATCTTTTTTTTTGTTTTGTTGCTTTGTATTGCCACAACTATCTCACTTTACTAAAGTCAATATAATTGCTTTGTTAATTATCAATTCTTATGTGTTTTACATTGTTCCTTTTTTGTTGCTTACTATTGCAAGCATAGCAAGAAACAAGTAAAAATTTTAATTGATGCTGAAATTGAAAGAACTCTAAAAAATATATAAATAAAAAACAAAAAAATTACAAAACTTTTTTAAAATTGTTTATCAAATTCAAAAAAAAATGATCAATCTAGACCGCTTATGGAATATGTTAATCCTATGGTTAAAGACATTCATAAAATCATTAACAAACCAAATATTCATACTAATATTTTTGAACACAAATATGTAATAATTTGAATGATACAACACTCTCAATTTTGGGAACCCCTATAGAAGATCCTAACAAGCATATAGCTAATTTTTTAGAAATGTATGCCACCTTTAAATATAATAGTGTATTTGACGATGTTATTAGACTTAGGTTATTTCCTTTTTAATTTAGATATAAAACTTAGATATGGTTAAACTCATTACCCCTATGCTCAATTACTACTTGGAATGATTAAGCCCGAAACACTTTAACCAAGTACTTTTCTCATTTGCTACCAACTTTGAAATGGCATTACAACATTTACTAAGTTAGATGGAGAGTCAATTTATGAAGCTTGAGAAAGATTCAAAAAATTCCTTAGTAAGTGTATCCATCATGCATTATCTGATTAGCTTATTATTTAGACATTTTATAATGGTATAGTAGGTTCTCTCAGTTCTATTATAGATGCGACTGTTGGTGGATCAATGATGTCCAAACCATTCAATGAAACTTAGGCTTTGATCGAAGAAATGGCCATCAATAATTTTTTAAGTTTTTTTTAAGAAGTCCCATTAGAATTAGTTAAGTTTGAGGAACAATCTCAACCTACTAAAAAAAATATTAGGAATATTGTTGAGAGACTAGTGATAAGTGTAAATTATGTACTATTTAATATATATTATTTTCAGTGAAAATGTGTTATTTTAGTTAATTTTGTATAAAAAAATTCAAAAATGATAAAAAATAATAAGGATCCTATAGCACCGCGGCGTAGGAATAAACACCACCGCAACACCACCTTCAATGTCGCCAAGGCGCCACCATTTGGACATAGCAGCACCAAGTTCTCTATTTTTGAGCATTGGGGTGGCAACATATCCAGCACCGTAGTGGTACCAGCACTGCTGCATGAGAAAGTCAACTTTGTAGTGTCTAGTTCTTAGGAATTTAAATGCCATGGTGCCATAAGTTTTCATACCTTAGCTCCAATTTTTTCAATCTAGCGCCATAGTGCTTGAATTTTAATTACATCGAGACATTGTAGTTGTAGTTTCCAAGGCTCACATTGTTCTAGTGAAAGACAGTGACTATTCACTAAGCAACTGCTCCACATCATTAAACATATTGATGGAGAATAATTTAGTGCTGATGCACTAGTTCATTTTAATGGCATCATGCAACAATTATTCAAGTGTCATAGCACCATTTACCTTTTTGTGTATTTCTATAAATAGATGTTATGTTTTTTTTAGAGGAGTTGAGTTACTAGTATAAAATTCAATACTTTTTTAGTGTACTTTTCAGTTCTCTCTTAGAGTAAAATTTAAGAAAGGCTACGGAAGTACAAGATATAATTCATTAGAGTATTTAGTATGTATTTGTTGAAGTAATTTTGTAAGTAAAGAATGAAGAATTGTATAGGTGATATATTGATCCTTCCTGATGATATCACTCCCTTGTATTATTATTCTTCTATGAATTTAATAAAAACAAACTTTCTTATCATTTATTCTATGTTAGACTAAATTTCTTATTTTGATTGATGATGAAAAAAGCATGTTTAATATTAATGAAGACT